ATATTTGATTTACAAATAAGGAATCCTACTTCGCGGAATTTCATTTATCACGGTAGGGTCTAGAACCAATTAACCGCGATAAACGAGGGTTCACTGTACATATATACATATGTACATATATACATATACTACATATATAGTACAACAGCATATTATAAATTTGGGGCATGAAGTTTAGATATATCAGTACCGTGTCAAGCATTTGAGCCATTAGCTTCCGGCATGCCATGGTACCAACAATGGGTAGGGTGGCACCAAACCAGAGACCCGAATTTAGTCAGGAGAGGTGGATTCAAGTGGGGGGACTTGCAGGCTCCCACAAGGAGTGCTTTGCCTAGCAGGGGGCAGCTGAGGGGGTCCAGAGGGTGCTCTGGTCTCATGTCGCCAGGGAGGCCCCCTGGGGTGTCTGGAAGCACATACCCACTTTGAGCTCCTTGCCGAAGACGGTGCGCTCGCCCAGGGCTGAGCAGTTCCAGCGGCCGTTTCGGAACTGAAACTGACACTCGTCCAGGCCCATTTGGGAGCCTTCTCCTATGACGATAATGGCGTCGGGCCGGCTCTGGCAGATCGCCCGCTGTCTGGGAGCCAGGCCGGGAATCTTGTTACAGATGATGCTCGCGCCGAGCGCTACCACCGAGGAGAAGCCACTGGAGCAGGGGACACAGAGAGACGCACTGTTAGGCCAGCAGGTGGAGGACCCGACCTGGAGTCCCTCTCTGGGTGCCTGACCCCCAGCCCAGGCCAAGAATCCCACTAGTCCCCAGAAGAGGCCGTCAGGCTGTGGGGATCCTTCCTCTCCAACACGTGAAAACTCATTTGTAATTTCCTCCCGCTGGCAGGCTGGTGTCAGTGACCATGAGCAGTGACGCAGGATCGGCGTTTGAGATGCAAAGGAGGATGGCCCTTGTACCTCACAAGCACAATGTTAAGCAGAAGGAGCAAGCACCTTTGTGTTTGGGGTAGGATTTGATGCAGCTGGAATGTAAACACATGCCAGGTGAGACCCTACCTTGTCTAAACAGACAGGTCAAATCCATCACCATCGAGTCGATTCTGACTCGCAGCACCCCTGCGTGGCTACGAGCTGGCTCTCTTCGGCGAAAGCGTGAAGGCAAGGAAGGGAAGTGTGAACTACAAAGCTAATGCTATTCATGGAGCGCTTGCTTCTGAAGGAGGAGCAGCTGCACAGATGTTTGCTGTTTGCCAAATTGTTTTTAATTCTCTGTGCATGCTATACATGTGCTCTGTGTGTGTGCAACATGATGTATTGCCCCCCAAACCCCAAAGAAGTGTGCTTTACACAATTGATGTGTGTGTGGATTGTGATAAGAGTTGTATGAGCCCCAATAAGATGATTAAACAAACAAACAAACAAAAACACCTTTAAAAATCACTGACTAGAAGCGCTGGCATTTTCCTTGTGGACACCACAGACCGCAACCCCTCCTCTACACCTCGCCGGCCTGTGGTGCAGGGATGACTAGTTCCTATCTTCCTCATCTTGATCACTGAGATGTACTCTCTGGTGTCTGGCAGGCCGGGGCACTGGGCTAGGAGTAGCTGTGTGCCCACAGGCCAGGCCTCAATCCCCAGGGCTTACACCAGGGGTCCTCAAGCTACGGCCCGCGGGCCACTTGTGGCCCGCCGAGGACATTTATCTGACCTGCCAGGTGTTTTTGCCCTGTTTTGTTTTTTTTTACTTCAAAATAAGACATGTGCAGTGGGCATAGGAATTTGTTCACAGTGCTTTTTTTAAACTATGGTCCGGCCCTCCAACAGTCTGAGGGACAGTGAATTGGCCCCCTGTTTAAGAAGTTTGAGGACCCCTAGCTTACACTGTCCGTAGAGGAGACAACACACAAGCCATAGCTGAAGGAAAGAGCCCAGACCGAAGAAACACACAACTTTCCTCTAGTTCTTTAATGCTTCCTCCTCCCCACTATCATGACCCCAATTCTACCTTACAAATCTGGCTAGACCAGAGCATGTACACTGGTACAGATAAGAGCCCACAACACAGGGAATTCAGGAC